CACCTGGGTCCTGGGCGCCAGTCACCGCACTGCGGAAAGACAGACGACGAGTCGGAGATCTTGGGAGCTTCGGTTCCAGAAACCGTCACCACATCCTCAGCATTAGCAGCGTCAGCGGTGGTCCCCATAGTTGGTTGAGAGTCAGGTACTGAAGCACGTTGTTCGTTGTCCGTATTCAGGCGCAGCTCACCGGGTTCAAAAAGAACAGGTTGCTCAAGGGGTATTGCAACCGCATCAGTTGAAGCGATGTCGACCATCGCGACATCCGTCGGGGTTGGGAGAGCTTCAGAGGCGTCCATTGCGTACAGTGGAAGAGGCTACTATTGGGGTGATCTCAATTCGTGGTGCAAGCGAGGCCGCAAATCGAGAAGTCACGCGTACTGACTTCTTGTTTAAGTGTAGCCACGACATTGTGTGATCACAACATCTTGTGTGACCCACACCTCTTATACAAGGGCACGCAAAACGCCATTACAGGTTCAATCGACCTGGTTAATGAATATTATCAAGTGCTGATGGGGGACAGTGATAGCTCTCCTCCTCCACTGAGCCTTCCAAACGAGATAATCTAGTAGTAGCCAGAAATATTACAAGGACTGTCTAATACGCCAACAGCCCTCCATATTTTAGTAACACAGCAGTTCAGGCCACATCGTGGCTATGCACCAGCCTATTTCGACAATAGCTTCTCCGATAGTCGCGCAGAGGACGGAAGGTCTGATGTGAAGAATCACATCAAATATTTGCAATCATTGCTTGAGTGTATTTGCTTGGACGAGCCATTCGTCAATTAAGTCAAATTCGTCTTTGGTGCCGCAATATCAATTTTGGGTTGCTTCAATGAAAGGAGGGCATGGTTAATTGCCGCGAATGTAAAGACCATTGAAATCTGACCGGTACCTCCGTGCCATAAGGACCCAAGAAAGCGACCCGGCCTAGCCAGTCAAAAATTTCAGTGCAAATCATGACGACATGGCACAGGCTTACACCAGTTTGATCAAGGAAAATGTCAAAGGGTGTTGGGCTCAACGAAAGATGCAACCTTTTGGGGCTATGAATAGAGCCTCGTGTGTGCTTCGGCTCTGGCTTTTCTATATCCAGATTTTGCGTTTCATGTCGTTGTGATACTCCAACCTTTACACTAAACCTCAATCAGATGCCTACAAATGTGAGCCGGTAAGCACGCCAGTGTCCAACCAGCATAAAGCTACTGAGAAGAATGTCCCTGTTCATATCAAAGAGCTTCTTGCTATGTAGTATGACAACGTCAAGTTCAGGGTGCACATGCTTAACTCTACGACGTTCTTGAACAAAACAGATCATAGGTTGAACAAAGCAATTGCAAAAACACTAAGTAATCTATGTGGGTCATACCACTATTCCACTTTTGTAATCCACAGATTAAATTAGTAATATGGATTACTTCTTGCAATCCTGCCACGTGGTGACTTCTTGTTACGGTGTAACAACACTGTGTGATCACACCAGCTTGTGTAATCCACACCTATGTACGGTCACACCATCTCGTGCGACCCGCGCTTTCATACAACGATACATGTAACCCCGTTACAGGCGCTACTTATGTTGGAGAGACAGGCTAACGTTCCAGCGACGCTAGATCGTCTTGCGATATAACTGTACAGGTTGTATCGCGCACACGCAGGGAGTTAATTAAACGATGATCTATTTCTTAGTCAATCGAGCACGAAAATCATCCCAGTAAAACACATGAACAGTACGAGAGTGTATGCGCTTGTAATTATCAAATCATGATGAGTTGGCCAATGACACAATTTCAAAGGACTTTCTGGGAGGTTAGACCTGGTCAACTATCTGCATAGGTATTGTGCAAGTAATGCTGTCACTCACGAAGTTTCAATGATATAGTCGAAGCAATATCAGTAACATCTAGCTACTTCCTGCTTCATTGCAGCAACGCGATTAGAAAGCACGGAGGGTGCCTCAAACAAGGTGACGCAAAAGAGAAAATGGAGAGAATCCGATATCAAGCTCATCTCAGCCTCGGACTCAAGTTTTGAATCTTAGAGAGAGCCGACGAGCCGCGACGATCTAGAGGGCTCATGCGTGTCAAATGGTGTGTGGGTGACAGAAGAGGCGAGCTTTTATGCTATGAAAGATTGCTTCATGTCTGCCCTGATCTGAACCTTCTGAATCCTATTCAGCTATTACTGTCGAATCTGACGCCTTGGTCTTTGCCATATGCTGTGTCATACTTCAGCTTCATGCCGATGGACATGACACCGTCACTGCATTTAAATATCACCAGCACTGAGGGGCAGCAAAGTGAGATCCTGTTCACGAGAAGAAATTACTACTGATACAGTTTTGTCTTGTCAAGGGTACACTGGCTTGATCAAAGTCATTAGTAAACAAATAGAGCGCGTGTCGTTATACACAAATACATTGCCAATACATTTCTCGCAGAATATGGCAAGTTGTTCTTTGCCGAGTACAACTGATTACAATATCCGGTCAGCTCAAAGCGGTTGTGCGCGTTCTCATCACTTAAACTATAAACTGTCGCATGCTACAATGGTGACGCCGCCTATCGACAAGGTGATTACATTGGGCATACATGTGTGCCGCAATATGTTATATGGTTAGAGCTTGAAGAAGCAGGAAGTGTTGTGTTTAAGTGTCGCGAATCTAACCGTTAGTAGCACAATTCTCCTGAATTCCAAGTCATTAGGCCTGATGTGTTACAGCACCGATTTGTTAGACGCAATGCTCAACACTGTACCCTATGATGAGAAATCTAAGTACAGGATATCATATGCGACATACTGTAAATTCTGGAAGGTCACCTCGTTATAGTGACTGCATTCTGCTCATAGAGTGGTCTCTTCTTGTGACACAACACTAGACATAAATAAGCACTAGTATTCAACAAGTGTGAAATATGCCAATAGTCAAATTTTGGCCACCAAGTTTTCCCGTTCCGAAAAAAACGTCGACAGTTCTGTTTTTCGAATGTTGCGTTCAGTATCGCAGTAGAAAAGTCATTACAGACCGTCTGAGCAAGATGTCTTACCTTGCTGTTGGGAGCGATAGTAATATCTATGAGAACAACCCCACGCTGTCCTTTGACAAAAAAATTCTCGACCATGGCAAAATCCGTGTTTACAAACAAAATCGGCGACGTTTGCTCAGGGTGCTTGACACCAGATTGTCTATCGGGGATGATCGTTAGCCATATGAGCATAAAGAAAGGCGTAAATTGTGTTGTGAAAGAGCACTTGCGAATGGTAGCCGCTCTAGCTTGCAATTCGTTCGGCGCAGAGATCGCGACCCATCCCAGGTTAATCATTTGCTCGATCGTTTTAAGATGTCAACCTGGGAAGGAAATAATTGATGTGATCGATGGTCGCAATAGATGGTAGTTTTTTGTGCGGTATAAAAGTTGATCTCCGGGGCAGGAAGTGATCGTAAGGTCTATCATTGTACGCGGTATCCTGTTATAAGATATATAATTCTGATCGGATTGGGGTTTCGCTATTATGATGGGGGTGGTATGCGATATTTAATCTTCACTTTTCAACGTACACACAATACCATTGTGTATCGGATTTTAAGTGAGCAAAAGTTTCCAAATTAAACACCATGATAAAGTATGATGGGTGATAAGGAGTATTAGGGTTTTGGATATTGGCGGCTCTTCTGATTCATTACGACTGAACCTCTGCGAGGATGGAGGAATACTCCTCGCAGAGGTTCAGTCGTAATGAATCAGAAGAGCCGCCAATATCCAAAACCCTAAAAACCGTGAAAGCGTGGAACATCTTTTTGCGCAAGGGCCGAAGCAATAAGCGCGCGCCTAGAGGCGTATTCAAAATATGAATTTCTCTGTTAGAGCACTTACAGCAGAACCTGTCAGCGTCGACTACGTCCATGACGCCACCGTCGACGACAGAAGATTCCTTCCGACCCAGGCCACTCATGGTAAGCGTTAAGATCTTTGAAGGTAAGGATGTAAAAATCTCCTGCTTTGGGTGAGAGAAGCCGAGATGACTATGGCATCCGTCATGCTCTAAAACGGCGTGGCACTAGCTATCTCAAAGGTCGGGGGTCGAGCGCGAGAAAGAACACTAAAGTGCGGTGCTTCGGTTGAAGCTGCGTTCCTCTCCTGAAAGAAGCTGAAGCGTCAGCTTTTGCGAGTGTTCTTGCCGCCTAATAAGGCGATATCACGTTTCATTGCTGCCCGAAATTGATGGGCTTTGTCCAAGAGAATAGAACTTTTATTGCGGGGATGGCAGCCGATCCTCTTCCTGAGGAAAACTGGCGTGGCCAGAACGGAAGTCTTCCGTGTGCATTCGTCTCCTTTTGAAGAAGCGGTGAATGTGGCATCGAATACCTAATTCGATTTTCAGTCAGCACGACTTGGTTGAAATGCACACCCTCCGAGCTCGTCGAGTGGGCATGAGTTAATGAATCCCAACAATGTTATGAAAGAGGAAGGAGAGCTTCGAGCTTCCGAGCAGCGTTTGAACACCCGGTGGTGTTTTGTCTGTGGAGACACCCGCCACCTTCGGACTGGTTGTCCCCTGCGCATGGCGCGTAAAGGTTCGTTGAACCGACGTCCCGCTTCTCCCCAGTCTTCTGACTCGTCGCGGGGAAACGACAACACTAAGTAGGCGCGAAACGCCCACCGAGGAAGAACTGAGTTCTGTTGAGCATCAAAGAGAAGAGGGCAGCATGGCCCAGCCCCGAAAATCTCCGTGCTCTTGAACACGAAAAGTGTGTGCAAGCCGAGCTTGCTGGTCAAAAAAGCGACCGTGAAGGGTTTTGAGAAGCCATGAAAAATCCTTAACGATTC